ACTCTAGTCTCCTCCCCTGAGCCAAGGGCAAACAGAGTAGGCCAAGTTGCATCTTAAACTCCATTGGGAATATTGGACTTGATTGTTGCAGCCAAGGGATCATTTAGTTGGTAGTCATCAAAATCTAGTTGCATGACATGGAAGCATGTGATGTTTTGTCCCTGCCACCAGACTCATTCTGCTTTTAGTGGGTAAAATCTTCCTGACTCCTTGGAAAATATGTTAATCTGTACCCTATTACCATTGGCTTAATTTATCATTATACGCACACCAAAAACCCTACAGTGAATGAGCATTTTAAAGGTTTCAAAGCTGAGCGCTCAAAAGTTAGGACTTGCCAGGGAACCTTAATGCAGCCCCTAATGTGTGTAAATTAAAGATACCATCTTCAATTACATGGTCACAACTGATTTTTCCACAGACCTTCTGTCTCAACTTTGTACAGGGCAGGTGATGCTCATTTAAGACACAACTCTTGTATTTTGTTTTCTGTTTCAGGCTCAACACGGGGTTTCATGCCTTCTTTAGTGCACATTATTAAAGCCCTGCCTGGGAGATATCCATTTCTGGGCCTTTCTGATTCTGCTTCTTGCTATGTTTATCTGAGTGCTTCACAAATGTAGTCTCATGACACCCCTGTGAGATGAAGGGGCATTAGTACCCCATTTAATAGAGGGGAAACTGAGACACTGAAAGATTAAAGCTACAGGTATCCACTGACTATAGCTCAAGAGAGCTAGTGCCCCATATTTTAGAGTATGTAGCTCTTCCTATGTTCAAAATGCAAATCTTATTTGCAGCAGTTGCAGCTAGGAGCAGTCAGAGGTCAGCATCTCAGGTTGGACACACACAAGATTTTTTTTTTTTAACTACAGTTGAAATTATCTGTTGTATGTTCCTAGTTTTAAGTGGGATGCCCAGAATCATCAAGGGAGAATCCAGGTCCCCAGAGTGGCATTAAACTACCTTAGCCCCAGCACCATCCTCTCTCTTCCTGAAAGCCCACGCCTCATTCAGCAAAAATCGTCTGCCACATCCTGTGACAAATGAGACAGAAGTCTGACAGGCAATGACAAAACCCTGGTTTGCCCTCAGAGCATGTCTTCTCTGTGCAGCAAGTGAGGTGGGCTCCTGTGGAAAGGCTAGTCTGGGAGCACGGGACTGAACACAGCATTAGGATTCACACTAAAACTGTACAGGCAACTTCCATTTTGGCATTTCCTAACTTCTGAGGACCTGGTTCCCATTCCAGCTATTTCCCAACACCCAGTCCATCCACCCCCACTCACCTAGATTAGCCTGGCCTTTCTTCCCCTTTTGGTTCCTCCTATGATTTTTTTTTCTCCCTCTCATGTCTTCTACAGCTTCCCATGACTCACTTGCACCCACATTGCCTGTCCCTCCCAGCTCCTTCTCCAATATCAGTGCCCATTGTTTGGTTCTCTTCCCAACCTAATTCTCCAGCCAATCCCAATAGCAGGCTCCTCTTCAGGTGTGACTCCTCTAGCTTCCACCAAGATCCCAGTTGCAGACTCCTTGTCCAATCAGTCCCAGTTTAACCCCGTTGCATTCCAGTTCCAGTCTAGGCCAGGCAGCCCTAATCTCCCCACATCTTCTAGTCTGAGTTTCCTTCTTTCCTAACCAGCCTCCAGTTCCAGCCTCCTCTTCCTCAGCTTCTAGTCCCAGTCTTCTCCTACCATACCACACAAAGCCCCACGCTTGTCCTCTCTCCACTGGAATCAGGTGGCTTCTGCTTTCTCACTGCAGGGGCATCAGCTGGGCATGCATGGAGAGCATAGGTGAGGCAGTGTTCCTGCTCATAGTGCCTGGTACCTGGACCCAGGCTAACACGGGGCACAGCCCAAAGCCGTCTGAAATTGTAATAGGTCTCCTACATTCCAGATACCTCACTGCAGAGGGCATCTTTAGAGATTTTAGCTCTGAAGCTCTAGCAAGTCTGCAGAGAATGTGCAACTTAAGTTTTCAAAGGCTTATAAGAAGCCAAATGTGAGTGTATTTTCACAGGACTAGCCAAAAAAGGCCTTCCTGGTACAAACCCTAACCTCCTGCCAAACTTCAAACCTTTGCTGCCCATCAGAGGAGTGCTACAGCTTCACAAGGAAAAGGTCATTAGATTATTTTACCCTGAGCAAACAGCTCATTTTTTCCCTAGGCACATTCTTGGAAAGGGCTGAAATGTTTTGGCTAATATTCTCCAAAGTTATTCAACCTGAAGCAAACACCCAGCATGGAAAATTTCAGCCCAAATGGTTGATGTCTGCCAGATGCATAAGACTAAAAACTGGGTCTTAAACAGCTGTTTCTGGCAACCTTCAGAATAGCTAGTGCTATAAGCCCTGCCTATAATAACTTTATTAAGCATAGTGTCCAATCTTCTAGGCATCAGTAAAGGTGTGACATAAAACTGGGCCAGCTGTTAACCCCTGGGACTCCGTGTGGGACATTTCCTCACCAAAACAGTTATTTTCTGGCATTTAGATTGTCTATAGATGTGCTCTGATGCGTTCTAATTAGATTACTCAAATCTGCTTCATATTCTAATTAGAACACTCTAGCATCACCTCTGCATCATGTGTATTAAGTCCCCACATTTCAAAATGGCTGTGGGGGGGGCGCTTTATTTAAACCTTGTCGAATGAGCTTTAGTTAAAGTGTCCCAGAGTGCCATTTTGAAATGCAGGGGCTTAATACATGTGATGCTGAGCCATTTTAATTAGAGTGGCTGTTCAGGAACCACTCTAATTAAAATGTGCCCCCTCCCCCACCACCTTTAAGCATGTGTATAGACAGACTTAAATGTGAGTAACAATTAAAATGTAATGAGCTCGGCTTTCAGAGAACAGGAAATTAAATTATCTGCTATGTGAATATTCCTTATGTGCTGTTAAAGCAAAAGATCTGAAAACAGGGGAGTCCAATTATCTACCGAATAATTAACAAATAATGGGTACCTGAGGGAATGAGGTAGTGTTACCAGATTTGCCCATTACTTTGTGGGGTGCTCATTTATTAGGGATAGGTTACTAGGGTCTTGGTAATTCTGTCAATGTGCTGCTTGTGTTACCTGTGTTTCTATACGGAGCTGTATATCTCCTTTCTGCAAGTCCTCGCCCCCAATGGAGCTATCTTGCAGGACTCAGTTTCAGTGGGGCTGGGTTCCTCCAGTCACCAAATCAGTCATACACACAAACACACACAAATTAACATGACACGCCTGACCTGGCCAGGTTGATCAGCGTGGACAGGCTGACACCCTCATATGCCAAGAATCAGTTCATCAGAGCAACAATAAACTGCAGTCAGACACAAGCACACAGGTGAACAGAATCCCTCTGAATCCGGCTCAGTGTCCAGCTGACACCCTCATGGGCCAGCATTCAGTTCATAGGGGCACGTCTGAGTTAAACTGGGTCAATCAGCCTGTACAAGCTGATCCCCTTATGTGTTTCAAACTCAGCACGTCCCAATCTTTGGCCTCTTGATGAGCAGACCCCACAATAATTTGGGCTTCACAGGGATCTTTAGCATAGGTAAAAGAAATTTTGGGGCTTCACAGGGATCTTTAGCTTAGGTAAAAGAAGCATTGCTGCAGAGCACGGGAGGAAAGAGAAGCAGAGAAGGAAAAATATACCCAGTTACTACCAGTTTGACTATAAAAGTTATTTATTGCTAAGCATATGAAATATATAATAGCACTAGTAGTAATAGACATGCAAAAGAAAAACAAACACAAACAATGACAATACTACCCTGGTTTCACTAAGTATTTGGGGAAACTTAGCTCAAGCTTAACTGATACAGTTCAGGTTCAGAAGTTTATGCCTAGAAAGAAGACAGAGAACGCTGGGATCTCACCTAGTCCACGGTACTCAGGCTGCAAAGCTGACAGGCACAGTCTGTAGCACAATCCTTGAAGAGAGAGATGATCTGTTCTTCCAGCGTCCCAAGAACGACAGGGGATGGTGTCAGCACAGGGGTTTTCTTCTTCTCCTTCTTTCCTCCTGCTTCTACTTCTTTTCCTTCCTTTTCCTCTTCCTCTTCTCCCTCTAGCAGCACACACACTTACAGATTTTTATACCCTCAGTTCAGCTGCTTTGAAGCACCCTCAGTAGTGTAAATCATTGTCTTTTCTATTGACAAGGGGTTATCTGGTTTGGACCATCTCAGGAAACTGATTGATAATCAGGAAACACTTAAGATTAGGGAGTAACCCAAATACTTGGGAGCCAGCTTGAGATTCCTATGGGTGGCAGATATACTGATGGGATATCTCATGGTTTCTTCAGGAACAATAGATAGCTTGCAGCATCAGGATTTTGGATTTTTACTTGTTGTGCACAAGCCTCAGCTTAGCATGACTTTTCCAGATCTTACTATAGTCTTTTAACAGACTTAAAACAATTATTGGGGTGCTCATAACCTTTTGTGGAGAGGACTCCCACCAGTCGTCTCGGGAAAGATATGACAACACCTGGGATTAGGGCTCCAGCAGGCTGGATGCTGTGATGAACCCTTAACCATTGTTCAAATGTTGCCCATACCCCCTCTGACTCGGTCTCTTGCCTCAGCATTCCCTAACCCGGCAACCGAGTTTCAGTCAATCAAGTTTAAATAGGCCTCCCATAGTGGGACCAGGGAATGTACGGCCCGAGATGCCTATTAAACTTAGAGGTGTGTGTGTGTGTCTGGGGGGGGGAAAGTCCTTTGTAAATTCAGATTAGAACTGGTCTGATAAATGCTGAGCTGGGTGTGTGTGAACATGGCTTGATTAACATTTGGAGCACAGATTCCCCATCATGCAGTGCTCTCCTGCTTCTCTGGTCCCAGAATTCACTGCAGTCTCTGCTTCAGGCTTTCTGTTCTCCCGTTTCTCATGTAAATGAATGGTCATCTTGTTCCATCTCAGATGCAAATGAGACCTAGGGCAGTTGTTTCACTCTGGTCACCCTTATCTTGAGGGTCTTAGGTGTGCCTCTCACTGCATCTTAATCAGTTTCATTTATGTAGAGGAGGGGAGGGAGGGGGAATTCTTTGTGAGTCAGACAGACTGCATCCTGTGCCAGGGTTGCCCAAGAACACAGAGCTGAGACGTAACAGTAGGCACTCTGCTGCTTGCAGATGCCATGACACAGGTTCTTAGCCAAGGCTGAGGAAAACAGCGCAACTCAGAAGAGGGTGATCCTAGGACAGCTCTTGAGCTGGGCTGGTGCCTTGATGTCAGTCTGGCCGGTTACAAGGCTACTCTAAACTAGGCTGCCTGCTGGTGATGCTAAAGAGTGAGGAAATCTTCGCCCACATACTGCAGAGAGCATGTGCATGTGTGTGAGACAGAGTGGCAGACATGACAGTTTTGTGTGCAAAGCAGCCTTAGCCCAAGGGAGACTTTGGGTCTGAGGCTGCACTTGTTAGCCCAATGAGTTGCAAGACTGCAGCATGAAAAAATAGGGTAGGGCAGGGCTCCTCCTCCGAAGACAAAATGATTAATTTAATCTATGAAGACAGGCTCAAAGGCAAGTTGTGCAGAGTAACTTTTCATCTTTTGAGACCTGGTAATACATGGCCTTCCTTAAAAGTCTTGCAAAAGAACAACTGTTGAGTGATAGAGTCTCCTGGCTTAACCATGCACATGGGTGTTTTGAGACACCTTAACATTAACAGGAGCTCTATATGGGTATAGGCATAGCTCCTGCAATTACCGACTCAGAGAATCTCACCACAGGACTCAGACTGGTGAGGAGCACACAGAAAGACCCCAGGTACCCCAGGTAGATACACTAGACTAAAGTGGCTGTTGACTCAGAAAGCTGTGGAAAGATGGGCAGAAGCTGCTGCTGGAAGAGTTCCTTGCTTCTCTGGGTAATGAAATGTGCTTTGCACAATGTGCAAGATACGGTTCCGTGTTACTTTATTTTAAACAACATTTATAACAATGCTTTTCTCATGGGCGCCTCTAATTGCTCTTGCTGTCACTTATTTAATGTCTACTGTACTTACTGCTTCCTGAACTCTGACTTTATGGATCTAGAGGAAAAAGTGCTCCCAGAAGCCTGTGATCTTGGCATGACATCCACATCAGACTTTAAATTAGACACCTACAGTGAATGTTATATTGTTCAAAAATTCCACCTGGTGCTCTGCATAGTTTGGCGACATGCACTATAGGGGTTGTTGCAGAAGCTCACTGGCCCAAGAAAAAGTGCATCTGAAATTCAGAGTGCACAGATATTTTCAAAGCATTTCCAATGACAGATATTTGATACCATTCTCAGACGAAATACTCTGTCTCAAGCCTGCATTAACACCTATTTTTATTATTCTCATTACCAAAGCAAGAAAGTGCTCTCATTTGAAAGAATGACAGTTTGCATGTGAGGACATCACGGGTATTTTTGTTTGCTCTGCATTTTGTTCACAAGAAAATTTCTGTTGTGCCTTGCATCTGAGATATACTGCACATAGTACTCCCCCTTCCTGACTACCCAGAGGAGGCACACAATTTGCATGTCATACCCAGAAATATGTTGTACAGAAGATATTTATAGTGGAATTCATTCGAGTTTGGTAATAGGTTGAAATAACATTGGGGCTAGCTTTATAATATAGAACATTATGAGACATGGCATTCATTCCTCAGAGATGATTCAAGAAGTTTCCATTAGCTTACAGGATACAATGATCATTATTATTAATGGTAACTACATGCCTCCATTCATATCATGGTGATGTTACTATGTCTATTAAATAATCTCTAGGGATTTCCAGCAAGTGTTTAAATAACTTAGGTCACCTCTCTACAATGGCGCTCAAACACTCTGTACAGGATGCATTTAAATGATATATCAGAGATTAGTTCACTTCTGACTAGAGCACTCAAGACAACTGGTATCCAAAATATTGCACGTGTCCCAGTGTTGCTAATATCCACCGCAGAGGCAGCTTGAGCATCTGGGCTGCACCTTTTTCAGTCTAAACGGATGCATGATCCTGACTGTAACTGCCAGTCCACCAAGAGCTCAAGACAGAGTTAAGGTCCTGATGTTATTTTTGATCAGCCATATCAGGCAGCTTCCTGTTTCACCTTGCAGTAATTCTGAAACAAAAGCACAGATAAGAAATGCTGACCACCATCTCCACTTTACTAGGACAGCAACACACCTTAGCACAAAGGAAACCAGATTTTGGAGGCTAAACAAATGTTCAAGAGCCTGCTTTTTAAAGATCTTAGCCATGTATTTAACCCAACAAAAAGCAGCAGCTCAGTTTTACAAGCCTAATATCAATGCAATTGTTTTAATGAGTACAGTTTATTAGATCCCACCCAAGTTGTTATAGTGAAGAAGTTCTGGGGGAGAAGAGGAAAGCCTGCCCAAAAGAGACTCCACATGCCAGATTGACAATTATGTAAAACCAAAAATTGTTATTTGCGAGGCTCAAGCTTGCATATTTGGGCAAGCAGTGTGAAGCCACCAGGATTCAGAATTCCCTGCTGGAATTACCCTACCACATGCGCAGAGAGGACCTAGTGGAAGGGAATGAATAAAGGATTATCTTGGCTGCTCAGTGAAGATATCTATGCACTGGCTGTTCCTCCCAACAATATCTCAGTGTGGCTCAGTATCATTTCTGAGAGACAAAAGGATCTCCCAAAGGAGCACGAGTTAGCCAAAAAGCAGTGTTTACTTGCTACACTGCATATCAAGATGTAGTTTGGGATACTTATTGAAAGAGAGGTCATTTGAGGCAATCTCCTCAGATGCCCAGGCAAGGCAAATGAATGGATAATTGTCCTCCGTGTAAGCCTGACCCTCTTCTCCCATCAGGTGTTTTCAGTACAAGTGGAAATGGAGGTAGTAGAGTCACATGACCACTTACTTTTAAGCCATCCTACCTTTTGTGTTTTCCACTACAGCCTAGATAAAGATTGTGGGGAGGTAGCCAACCAAGATAGCCCATCCCCATCCTGCACCTCACAGGTCAGGACACTGTTAGAATACAAAATGCCTCCCTCTCTCCTTCCCACTGCCTTGCCCAGTGGTCCCCATCCCTGCTTGCTTCCTATTACTGTAGGGGGATTGGGGTATGGGGACAGAACCTGATCCTTGATGTATCAAGTCTGCTGTAGCATGCTAATTAACTAGCATGCTCAGCCAGCCTCTGCATCTCGTGTATCAGCATCCCTGCACTTCAAAATGGTGGCAGGGGTGCTTTAACTAACGCTCATTGAACAAACTTTAGTTAAGCACCCTTACTGCCATTTTGAAGCCCAGGGATGTCGATACCCAAAGATGCTGAGGATACTTTAATTAGAGCAGCTCTTGGAGCCACTCTAATTAAAGCTCCACCCCCAGAACATGTGTAAAAACATCTTGTATGATCTGGTCTACAAGCTAAACTAGGCAGCTCAGAATTGAAGGTGGCTGGCCCATGATGATACCCCCACCATGATAGAAAGGAGGCCAGCTGGAAGGAGCAGAACAGGTTGCGTAGGTACATGTTTAGGGGCGGTAACTCTGCCCATGCAGACTGGCCCCTTGTCACCACCAGCACATCATCTCCCTCCTCTGAGCCTAGTAAAAGGCTGTAGAAATACTGAAGCTCTTGGTTGCCCTGTTAAGGCCCCTGCCCTGCCTGAGGGAAAGCTGGCTCAATGATGCATCATGTGGGGTGGTCTTTGCTGCAGGGGCACTTCCCTTCCTAAAGGGACTTTGTGCTGCTTCAGGACTCATCTGGACTTCTTTTGCCACCTTGCCCTTCCTCCCATGGCTTCAGTGGGAGGTTAGCATAGTCTCCTCATCCCGTGACTAACTAGAAGGACATCCTGGCATTGATAAAGTATTATGCAAGGGGACAGAGAAGTTAGAGCAACACACACTGGCTTGCCCTGGAATTGCCCTCCCCTCTGGCATGGTATGTAACAGGCAAAGCCTTGCTGCTTTTCAGTCTCCTGGCCCAGGCTCACAGCACTGGGAAACAGCTGAGTGACATCAAGAGGGCATACCTGGGCCACCCCAAACAGCCCGGAGTGGGGTAGGGGGTTGCCCCATTCTGCAAGCCATACTTCCCAACAGACCATTGCCAGAGGCAGAAATGCCAAGGGGCATACAGAGCTCTGTGCCGGCTATGCACCAGCCTAGAATTTCTGAGGCCCCCTTCAAAGCCCTCCAACCCGTCAGCACCCCATTACACACTCGTGAAGGCACCAAATGACAGCCTACAGAGGAGGGAGTCCCAGGACCTCCAAGCAGCTACTGCTCCGTAGCTCAGGAGAAAGGGCAGGGGAATGGGCCCTTTTTGGGTCTGGCCACACTTCATGCCTACTCCACAATCCTGACTGCCCTCCCACTGGGCAGGACAAACCTCTCCTTAGCAGGGCTGGTAAGTGTCAGAGGCCCTAGTGAGGCAGCCCAGTCTGAGCGAATTGCCTCGGCAGCTGTACTTGTCTTGAGTCTCTGGCTAACAAGCTCTGCCCCAGCTAGTTAACTGGCTAGCTGACTGACATGGGAAGCCCTAAATAGTTACCAAACCCTTCAGACAAACAAGCTCAGCCTCAATGACAGTGTTGTACTAGCCAGAGGTATGTGGAGCACCTCAAGTTATTTACCTGGGACCGCTCTCTGGAGCATCAAGGTCAAGCATAACATATTTCCATTTTCCTGCTGCTGCCCTTCTCTCTTGCTCTCTATCTCTGTTGACCCTCCTAGCTAGATTTTTCTCTGTGCTTCTTCTTCTTCTTCCCTTTTGTGTAAATATGATTTCTGGGCAGGTTCTGCTGAAAGTGAATCTGTGCTGAAGCAAGCAGTAGTCATATCCAGAAGTTCCACATGTGGTCAGACCATAGTGCTGTTGCCAGGGAGGGGAAGAGTGCTCACTCATGGCCTGTTTCAGCTCTCTTGGGGCCTAGATCTACCTGTATGTCTGAGATCTCCTTCCCATCCTTAATACTTCACATACGAGCAATATGGTGGTCTATATGGAAGAGGCTGAAGAGGGATCTGGAGACAGCATGGAGCAGAGTAGTAGGGTGCTGGAATACAGCTACTGACTTCCATAGATACTCCAGTCCATACAGGGAGGTGACTATCGTGCTGCTGGAATCAGTGCTGAGTTCCTGTGGCTCTTTCCCCTGCAGGGCAGCAGCTCAAGCCCTTAGGTCCCTCCCTTGAGAGGACACTGGGCAGCAATTTCTGCAACAGGACTCTCTTGGCCTCTGTGTTGCCCAGAACACTGTGGCTGAGGCACTCTGGCCCAAGGGTAGGGGAGCTCCTATCTGAAAATCACATTTCTCTGGAAAACCTGGCACGGCTGACCCTGACACAAGCAGAAACTAATCGGATAGGAGCAGACAGCCGTGTTACTGCTTTCCTCCTGGGATTATGACCGAGACCATGCTTTGTGTAGAGATATCTGCAGTGCCTTCCCATGAATCAAAGTGAAACATCATTAGGGGACTGACAAACATTCAAATTACTTATTGGCAGAAATAGGTTTAAAAATAGTTTTTTATGATAAACAAACTAACCTCATACAGGAAGTGAGCAAATGCTAAAAACCAGTATGTTGTAAGCTAGCCAGTAAAAGTACAAATTTGTTGTGCACAAAAGCACTAATCTCTCTTTCTTTTCTCTCTCCCTCCCCCCCTTATTTTTATAATTTTTTGCTTTCCATCCAATGCCACTGATAGAATTTAACAAAGAAGTGGATAATTCCAGTACAAAATGATTTGAGAATAAGACCTCTGTTAGTATTTGAGTAGGAGGCTACAGTTCTTTGGTTGTTCCATGAAGCAGGTTTTTTGCAGAATGGTCAGTTGTAAAACGCAAACACAGGATAATAAAATCTGAAACTGCCCCTACCAGAGACACCAGGATGTTTATCCTCTTTACAGCAGCAGAAGCCACAATTATACCTGATCACCAAGGATAAGCAGAGGAATATGCTAATAATATCTGTTCATTTTGGGAATAAGCTGGGGCCCCACTATCATAATATATAAGCAACAAATATAATCATGTAGGATGATGTTGATCTCTTCACAGAAAGCTCTGCTTTTTTGGCTTTCCCAGGTTCAAAAGTTTTAGCTGATTGCCTGCCTTCAGTTCCTGTAGGAAGGTTTTGCAATAGCCACACATAAGGAATTACAGGAAAAATAAAACAAATCTGTCAAAATCTAAACAAAACAGGGGGCAAGATTGTGCATATAAACAGGATTGTACATATAAAGCAAATTAAACTTACTCCCAAGTGATACACGTTGGATATTCTCCTACTCCTGTCCCCAGGTTCTTACAAAGACAGTCATCAAGCTAGGTATCCACCATAAAATTCTGTAATCCTATATGAAAAGAAGTAGTAGAAAAATAGAAATATCTTAGCATGAAAGGAAGGGCCACTTAGAATTTCAACCGATCTATTCAAGTAATAATAGTATTTGGTCATCTGCACACAAATCTTAAAATAGAACCAAACTGCAATTCAAAATAATGTTTTAATTGTGAACCCAATATTTTAGCATGTTTGGACTTCAAAAGGTATTTGCTACTGCTACTGCAAAGGTTAAACATTTTTCCTACCGAAACTTAAGTGTGGGTTGTGAAAGAACATGTTAATATACAAAATTTCCCCAGGGCTGCTCTTGTATTATCACCAAAGCCATCAAGTTTCAGTTTGAGTTATTTGTATTTATTTATAAAAACAAAGATTAAATAAGTAGAACAAAAACAAAAACCTCATCCTAATTTCTGTTCTAAACCTGATTTATTAAGACAAGGAACACTACATTTTAGCAGATAAAAAGATTTTCTTGCTTTCAGAAAATAAGTTACAGGATTTACAGAGCTGGGAACACTGTATTCACAAAGCTTAATATGTCTTATAAGGAAAACTGCCATGGGTATGAACACTGAATCATGTTAGATCCCGTCCTATTCCTTCTTTCTTATGAAACAAAATATATACATTTAACATGAAAATTCGTTCACTACTTTTTTAAAGAGGTTTGATTAAAGAGACATGCAAGTACACAGAAATTATTCACTGGCACAACTACACTTCGCAAGCAATAAAACAAATGTAATCAAAACTAGTCAGATTCAAAGGTTGCTGCTTGAACAAAACTCTTTTTAGCAATTAAAAAAAAATCAAAGGAAAATACAAAGAGCAGGACATTGCACTTCATTTTAGACACAGATGCTAGCTTTATCATAACTTTCCAGCAGATGAAGCAGAGCTTTTAAATTATATTTGTAACATGTGAATGTCAGTAGCATTTGCCTTCAGACAGGCAGCCTAACAATTTCATTTAGAAATGTTTTAATCACAAAGCACCTGATAAAGACATTTTCTTTTCATGTGTTTTTATTTTCATCGTTACAGAATGAGTTAAAAACACACAAAAAAGAACTTTAGTGGTCTTGTAGTCTTTAACGTGTTGTTTTTCTATACATTTTATGTTGTTGGCTTTTGTTATCAGTAGCATCTGCAATTGTGGCCAATTCTGTCATGCTGTAGGGCAGACAGACATCTTGTTCCCAAACTGTTTGCAACCTTTGAGCTATGGTACAGTATCAACTACAGTTTAGAGAAAAGCCACAGCACAATGAGAAAAGAAGTGTAAATTTAATCCAAAAGTAACCACTATACTGAGCTTTTTAAAAGGGCAAGCGAGATATTAAAATCTTTGTGTGTCTGAGGCTAAATTCAGACCACTCTTCAAAGTCTAGAAAATATCAGTGGTCTTCTTTAGCATATTGTTTGTTTCAAATTTCCTGCATATCCCCATTTTGCCAGTTGTCACAACTATTGGTACTTTAGAAGATCTTTATTTGGATGCTTAAACATACTTTTCACCAGCTATTTTTCGAACTGTAATACCAAGCTGTAATACCAAGACTACTGAGACCTCATTTGGTAAATGCCATGTGAATGAAATCAGTTAAGCGGTTATTTACCACTGAAAATAAATGACACCAACATAGTGCATATTGGATATTAATATCGAAACCAAACAGCAAACTTATACCACAGATTCACGGTATTTAAAAATAAAATGAAAGTAATTCAAGTCAAATACAAACTTTTACCATACATTTTTCACAGAATTTAAATGTAGAAACCAAATTAAATTGTTGTTAACCCACAGAAACTGATACGGCTTAATTTTTCATTTTGTTAGCTTAGCTTGTGCACCCAGATTGAGACAAAGCCAAACAACCATTTTCCAGAACTCAGAAAGGATTGCGTCTGGAAAACGATGAGTTTATCTAGTGCTGCAGTAGAGACAACTACTGTAAAAGCTTAATTCCAGGCTAGGCAATATCTGAAATAGTAACAAGTCTTCTCAGCCTTTCAAAGCACTAGCATCTCCCACACAGATACACTTTGTCTCAGATTGAATCAAGGAGAAATGACACATTCTGAAACCATTCTGTAAAGCTCCCCTTTCCTGACAATTGTGTTGCATTCAGAATCAAATTTGAAGTGTTTCTGAAAAGTTCAAACGGTTTCTAAAAATGGACACGCAAAAACAACCCAGACATATTTTATAGCATTCACAATAATTTCCTTTCATTCGAAGTGAGACACTATTCCTCAGCATTTAACGTAGAAAGAAGTCTATTATAAACCTAACCATTACTGTTAAAAAACAACACCCTTTTTCATATAAAATGTACTACCAAATCCTTAGTTCTGTCTTATCATTCCCCATTTACCCCTGAAATCCCAGTGTAATAGTTATCAGTTTTTTGTTTAAAAATTGTATACAGTTCTCCAATATTCTCTCCACTTCCTGTGACAAAGCAAAGCATATTTAATTTGAAATTTAATCTTCTTCTATCAATCCTTGATAATGACCAAAGAACACACAGAAACAAATTACCAAAATTTTACTAGTCAAATAAAACTGATGCCGTCTGATTTCTGTGCTACTTTTTGTAAAGTCATTTCATTTAGAACAGCAATGAACCAGCATTTCAGTTTCTAAAGTAATTTAAGAAATAATCAAAGAAAAGTGTAAGATAATCAGGCAAGCCTATTTGAATACTGAATGCAATGAACTGAATGTTTTAAAACTACTGTCTTAATTTAATCTTTTTATTTCTCTAAGACTGCATTGCATGCTTCTACCTAATCAAACTTCCCTTGAGGTAATTATGATAAAAATAGAGTTTTAAATCACTCCTGAAATGTATAGAGTTAATCTAAACTCAAATTTTGACTCATCCATTTCTATGATGCATGATTACATATAGTCTGTTGTACTAATATTTGCCACTCACTTGAAAAGAATATTAGCCCACTCGCAAGATTTAGGAAATCATTTTAATTTGAGTCATGTGGAAACAGTGAAACATGACACTACCTTGAAAGCAGGGTATGCATAAAAGAGCACTTCACTTTAAAACACACGGTTCACCACATGTGAAGAATCCAGAATACTGGATATTTTCAAACACAGTGAATTAGAACATTTCAAGGGAACAAATTTCTTGATAGCACAGTAGCTTAGCTACCTAAAGCTTGCAAATAGGCATTATTTTGCTGCTGTATAAATTGTTTTGGGGATTAAGATTAAAGGAAAACTTTTAAGGGAAAAAGGAGCCTAATATGTGATCTAAATAACTTTGATCTCTTACATGTTCAGAGCACACATATTTTGAGTATAAACAGTTGCTAGAGATACTGTTGAGATACAGTCCCTCCTTTAAATGCATCGAAGCAATTGTTCTGACTGTCCTGTACAGTAACCTCAGTGATGGCTTAATTCCACTGCAGCCGTAAAATATAACAGCTGTCCTGAAAATGAAACACATCTGGAAAATTGTACAAGGAGTTTCACAAAGTTTTAGAAATTTCTTCTATATAAAATTAACCTAAAAATTATATATTAGTAATGTGCTAAATATCTGGACATGTTTTGATGAATTAAGTCTTGAAATGAATACTTGATAAAATTCACATCTTGAACTCAGGCTATGGTGGCTGGGTTTTTTTTGTAGCCAAATACACTAATAAAATTGGTAGTAGGTGCTGGTTAACAATATAAACTATTAAGCAGCATACATCAAATAATTTCTTGGTTTGTGTCTGGGTGACAAAGATCATTCCTAATATTAAATATTCCCTCTTTGTTTGTGGCACACCTTAATGTTCCTTGTCTGTTGAAATGTTTTGCTAAATTCAGTTTGTAACTGTTGACTCTCAGGTATAGGATGCCAATGTTTTCATCAAAGCTAGCTGAAAACAAAACTGAGAAACATCTTGTGGTTTTACAAAATGTATTTACATAAAAATATATTTTAAAAAAGTTTTGGTTATTGTGAGAGAAGTCATTTATGGCATGTGATGTACCTGACATTTAAAAGGGTTTATCATGTATGTCAGATTCACACATTACCTACATTTATCTTTAGATGAAATTCTACTGAAAGAGTTTTTATCAGACAAGCTTTGCCTGTTTTAAATTTGAAAGATTTTCTGTATTTGCTCTGTATTTCTCTGCCTAAACAATATTTTAACAAATAGACATGGATTACAAGAGGAAATCTACACCAAGGCGGAGACCACCAAGTTAACCACAGGGCATAAATTATGGGAAAATACAGAGAATCAGCAGAATGTTAATATATATGGAGTAGGACATGGCATGTGCCACTGGACAGTTGATTATTCATCTGGCCTTTGAAGAGACATGTTAGTGAATTAACATAATATTGCTTTACTTAAAATTATCTGAAAATTGACAGATAGAAGGAATACCCAATACTGAATGTGATGTAAACATTAAATCAAATATCTCCTTTAATGTTGTTTCAGAGAGCTAAATATGCATTTTAAATGTATCAACATAAAGTTGCTGTAGATGATAAACTGCATAAAAAACCACTGCTGTGTGCATTTTCCCTCAAAGATGAATCATATGACATGAGCTTAAAAAAATATATTCAATGTCGCTGAACACCAACACTCTTTTCCATCCCCTCATTAGGTCGTAAAAATTCTTAGCTGCCTATCAGTAATATCAGCTGCCATGTACATAGTCCATCGACTGCAGGACTTGCCAAGCAAGACTCAGGCCCCAATCCAGCAACTTGATGTCTGCAACCGTAGTCATTTGCCTTCCCAGAGGTTTGTGGGGATTTGTGAAGCTGCTAGCAAAAGCCCAATTTATCACATTGCAGGACCATGGCCCAACATTAGGCATGCACTTGTTTTAAGCCAGCAAGGAAAACTTCTTGACAAGAACAAAAAGCAATATTGTTATGCTAGCTAAAACTCTATTGCTTAAATTAGTTTGTATAGGAATAGAATCATAGCAAAGCCTATATAAATATA